GCGGGGGAGGAGGAGGAAGAAGGATGTAGAACGGTAAGAAAATTGGGTTATGGATATATGAGTTCGAATAGGGCAATCCTATCGTCACTGATTGTGTCCGGTTACATTACATGCGTAATTTGAGTTTCACGCATCGCTTTTATGGCTTCTATTGTGGCAAGGATTCACTTTCATAAATTATAATCATGGAAAAAGTGAATGAGTTACACTCATTTTTCTCACTGTTCCCCTGGCTACTTTCAGAGTGAAACATTGCGTTCCATGTAACTAGGCTTGTATTTCCCGGCCTTCGTCTCCCCACCCACCCCCCTTCATCGAGATGTACAATTTTTATACTGTTGCCAATTCCCGTGTATGATTTTTTTTTGTTTCTTTTTTTTCGTGTTTTTTTTTAGTTGTTCTATTCTCTTTTGTTTCATCACCACAGATTATCCAGGCGATACACGTGCTCCGATTTCATCTGCTCGAAATTGAAAAGGTATGTCCCTTTTTTTTTTGTTTGTCTATTGTGTGCCAACACGCACATCTTGTTATTTGCTGATCCGTTCGCACAAACCCCAGTCCTAGTTGTATCGATCTGGGGCGGTCTGGACAACGAACAGGGATAACAAGTTGCTAGCTAATGATTCGCATAGGAATACAATTGTCAATCCAATTATTTGTCAGTGCATAACTCTGGGAAAATACAATTCAGTGACTTAAAATTTTCTTTCGTTTTGTTTGTTTTGTTTGTTTTCTAATCTCTAATCTATCCTTTTTGCATTCCGATGGATGATGAGTTTGAAATCACGTGTGAATGATACGTTTGAATTTTGTTATGGTTAGTCTTGCGCTAATACAATATAAACGATTTGTGAACTAACGGAAACCTCTTTTTCTTTTTGATTCATTTGACTGGAACACAAGTAATTTCGCGTGTTCTCAATCAACTGTCTACGCACATTAAATAGGTGGAGTTTTATAAGAAGAATACCATATATGGACATTTAGATAATTACATGGGGTCAAGCAGAAGGAACTGGGTGGCTGAGTCATAACCAAAGTCATTTTTGGGGTATGGGTGAAAGAGGAGGAGGACTATGTTAGCATAGAAACAGTTACGTAATGGAAAACGATTAGCCGTGGTGGAAAGAGAGTTGACCATGGGTTATGTAATACGAAAAGATACAACCAGAAATGAATGCGAACCGACGTAAAAAAGTTAACGAAGTGAAAAAAAACTAAGTAGGTCAAAGAGAGTTACGTAATAAGAAAATAAGGAGGATGAAGTGTGAACGATGATATAAGGGAACAGACTGAGATGATGCGAAGGAAAGTGGAGGAGAATTACCATGGTAATAACAATTGCATCACAAAGGGCTTTTGCACGCATAGGTCAGGCTTTAAACAGTTAATGACAACTTGCACATAGCACACCTAAACATCCTTGGGCTTTGAACTTTGAGCTTTCTGCCTCAACCTATGTAATTATCTAAATGTCCATATATGGTATTCTTCTTATAAAACTCCACCTATTTAATGTGCGTAGACAGCTGATTGAGAACACGCGAAATTGATGGCCAATATCAATTCTGCTCATCTTGTGTTACTTGTTTTATTCAGATTTGTGAACTGTTTCCTTAAAATGAGCTATAGTTCAGTGTTGATTTGAGGTCGACAGAACCGATTGATTACGGATAATTGCTAACGTTCAGATCATGTACGGTTACCTTTCCTCTCCCGCCGCCC